GGTGGAGCTTGCTAGATGTCTCAGCAGTTCCATCGTTCTATAGTGGCTTCGATCACCGCCTCTTTCAAGCAACGGTACGATTCAGTCGAAAGCTGGAAAAGAGAGTCTGCCACAGTACTGGAGTTTTGACCAGATTATTGCCGATCCTGAAATTTCATCTACTGAAGTTTTGAGTACCTTTCAAAAAGCACCAAAGCTTAGAAGATCGACTTGTTGGCTTGACTTTTATTGATAAGCCTGAGGTCTAGTGTACGCTGTTCTTCATGCGCATTCGGAAAAGGTGATGGATGTGAATTTGAACGTAGATGTTCGTAATATCGTCACAGTGTTAATTCCACTCGACATCGTGAATTGAAGGCGTACTCAAAGTAATTGCACTAGTAACCGGAAGCGCTAGTGTTGGGTCAAGAAGTTCGTCGTTTATTGTAGTGTGAGAACAAAGATATGGTAGAACCAGTCACTGTATAGTATTTCCATCAGCGGTCTAGCTTATCGCACTGCCAACGAGAGGAAGATTGCTCATTGCCATGAGTGCCCATTCGAAAGTTGTGTGTATAGCACTTACATAGTCCAACAATGTGTGTACTATATGTGTATCGTCGAGTTGTCGACAGCACGGGCTGGATGTAAAGAGTCCGCGCAACGCGCTGAGACATACTTCATGCACTGCAGAGTAGTAGTCGCATAAAAGGGAACCACAAAGACCCACAGTATTTGTAAACTATGCGCTTGGCCATGTTATTATATCACATACTCAGACAATCGCTGGGGGCAGGCGGGCACCGGAAAAATAGATTGCTGATTTCTCGCACCCCGCTCGCGGATTTTTTGCAGCAATCGGGACTTTTCGGAAGACCGCTTGCTGAATCAGCGGATTTTTGAAAGACCGCCTGTTGAATTTTTTTCGCTCTTATCTTCTGCAGATATATTGCTGAATCTCTGAGGAATCGAGAACTCAGCAAGCGGTCTTCCGAAAAGTCCTGATTGCTTTCCAAAAAATCCGCGGGCGGGGTGCGAGAGATCAGCAATCTATTTTTCCGGTGCCCGCCTGCCCCCGGCGATTGCCTGAGTAGACATTCAATTAGTCGAATGATAATCGAAAATCGAATGATATTCGATATTCGAATGTTCGAAATTCTCGATTTTCGAATATCATTCGATAGTCGAATATTCGAAATTTTAGTTTTTGAATATACTCGATATTCAAATATTCGAAAAACATTTCGAATTTCCTCAAGTATAGTGCATACATAAAATAAAAAATATATAATACGACACTCTAATATCTTTACAGATTTATCCGTGGTCTGGGGTACTCCAACATTTTAGAAGAAGCTCTAAAGACACTTGCAATTCCCAATGAAAGCGTCGATTACTTCATTCAGAAAATAGTTTTTCATGAAAAGCAACTCAACATAACAGCAAACCGCTGCAACTAAATGGTTTATTCAGTGTACACGAAAAGATAAAAAAAATGATGGAAGAAAACAAATGTAGTAACAACTTAACAAAGTAAATTATTTTTCGGAGTTCAACCCACTATTGTTTGAAATTATGACTAAGATAAAGCACGGATGTACTCTTGGTCACATTCTGAGATTGTATAAGAAGAGAGAAAGGGAGATAGTGGTGTTTTGAGGAGCCCAACAAAAGGGAGCAAGTAACTTTTGCTTTTTGCAACTCCTAAATCTCTTCGTTAGATCTGCTACGTTAACGGAAAAAAGGATAATGTTTCACTAGAATTATCCAAGAGGAGAAATCTGTTGTACTTTCCTCCAGCGGCTCTAACAGGTCAGGATTCAATCTGAGCAGGGAAGGCTTTCCATATCTAAACATGTATGGTTGGAATCAGCTTCATCGCTAGTTCCAAATAAATTGGTTCCAGCTGCGGCACATTTTTCTCAAAGGCACCGTCCACCCAGATTCTCGGCTTCCATGTTTTTGTCATTCCGGGGACTTTTCATGTCCCTGATTCCGAATATGAGTCGAAAATCCGCGAAAACCCGACAAATTCCGTTTCGGAGAGCCCACAGGGCGAGTTGTGCGGGACGGTGATTGGTTAGGTGCACTCAAATAGGCGTGACGAACGTCAGGCCTACTCAAAGGGGAGGAGCCAACGCGACGAATCCCTTATCCAAAGCGATTTTTGAGGCAATTTTCTCGCTTCAGAAGCAACTTCTGGCAGCGTGAGTTGGGCAAGTATACAGCTGAGGGCCCCACTACTGTCACTACTGTTAGGCATCAAAATCTCATCGACCACATTTTGAGTGGACGGTGCCTTTAAGCGAGTTATTAATTTTTTAAATTCGCATGCTCTTTGACCTAAAAGCTACTACAGGACGAAGGCGCAGAAGCAGTGTTAGTTGACCGGGCGCGAAGGCAGTGCGCCTATCCTCACCGTTGTAAAAGCAGCGCCTCATGCGCTCTGCGGCTAATAAAGCCGCGCTCGCGCATACGATGTTGCGTATTCGTCGCGCAGCCCTATACCAGCATTACGGTACCATCATCTAAGTGCTAATTTATTGGTAAAGTTTCTTGTCAATGACAAAGACTCAATCTGATAGTATCCTAGTATCTCGGCACCATTTTTACGCAGATCTCTATCTACAGGCAGCCATCTCATGTTGGATAGTATGGCAATTTCGCACAGGTAAAAGCTTATAACTCTCTTTAGAGTAATGTGCCGCAAGGGACAGCGTATTTGGAGTCAGCATTCGACTGATTCCAATTATAGTGCATGTTACAGTATGTTAGCACAAGATTCTCCTAATCTGGTTAGGACGACAATTAGCTTTGGTGCTTGTCGCATTCAATTTCTGCAGGGTGATTCCCTAATTACTTGAATGCTAGGATCTTTAGAAAGTTGTAACCTTGAAATAAGGACTCCTCTTTATAAAAACAATGCCTTTACTTTACTTAATGCTTCTGAGGACATTGTAGAAGAAGTTAGGAGACAGAAATTTGAGCTCAGGTTGCAGTAACGTCAATGTCGGACTTGCTTCAGCAGCAACAAGCCAAAAGATGAAAACCCTTGCTTGCAATCCAGCTGATAAACTGCAGATTTTCCTACTCAAAGCAGGTTTCTGGGGCGAAATACATGTGAAAGCTTTTTCAAAGCAAAAAAACGCAGATAGTCGGTTCATTTGGGGGTACGACACAGTTTGACTAAGGCAGCTATTTGAAACTTCTAAATGTGTATCTACCTAACAACATTCGGAAGCTAGGAAGTGCTTCCATCAGTAAAAATTCCTGGTGGACCTATAATTTTGACCAGCTTTCAAGTCTGCTTTTTCCAAAATTATTGATTTTTTTCTTGAATAACCAAACGAAAACGAGACTCGTTTTAAAGACCGTTATTAGACTGGTAAACACACAGCGGTACCAAATTTTAGAACATTTTATTGACAACAGAGTGAGTTATGGCATTTTTTTAGAGTGAATCTATAATTTTGTCCAGCACTGTATATTAGGTTGTCCCAAATGTAAACTCCTTTTCTGAAAAAAAAAACAGCTGTTTTCCAGCAGACTTAGAGTAGCGTTCAGTAGAGCGAAGCGAGCTCTACAAAATGACCACTAAAGATCCGCCTAAGTCGTGATCTAGTAAAATCTGGAGCCAAAAATCAAAAAATCGGATCTCCCTTCAGAGAACTCTCACGAACCTTCAACTTTCTCATTATACAGTAGTGACATAGTAATACCAAAACATATCCAGTAGGTAGATTTTTTCCGGAGTTCAAAATTGAGAAACTGAAATAGCCCTAAGATAAAATGTCCCATTTTGGGTTTATTTTTGGTCGCAAAACTTGGTATTTCTCGAACACCCATGGTGCATACAGAGGTATGGCTTTAGGGTTGAACTTACTAGAGCTTATAGTATGCAACGACATGGTTGGGGAGGTTGGGGGCGGAGTCATTTTTAGACTGTCTTATGTTCTCGCTTTTCACGCGCGGAAGAAAACAGTAAAGACTGCGTACTACCATGTGTCTAGTATAATGAATTGGATGTCCGTAGCATTTTTTTTGCAAAAATCCATTTTTGGGTGAAATTTTCTCCAAAGATTTTGCAAACTTTACCAGGATTACGACTTAGGCTGATCTTGGTTATCATTTTGTAGACTTGCTTTGCCCTATCAAATGATACCTAAGTCTGCAAGAAAATAAAAAAGTGCTTGACTTATCTAAAAAATTCTACCTTTGGAACAACCTAATAAAGCATATGGGACCGAATTAGTTCTCAAATTCCGGCATTTTGGGACATTCATGAATGTTTTTGGGTATGGGCTATGTAGGCTACCTCGTTCAGCACAGAGGGTGTATGATAGTTTCCTTGATTACATGAGATGAGCCTCACACAGGGGATGTCCTAAATAAATGTAACAATTTTTGAATGGCAAATATTGCAGGGCTGGTTTCAACCTATGTCACTCATTGCTTTAGGATTACGCGAACAACATTAAAACATTCTAAAAAACAAAAGTTGTGGCAGCCGTTCAAAGAAGGCGAAAAACTTTTTTGACGAGCTAGTATATATTACATGTGCGTTGCAAACGAGTCATCAGCAGGAGGTTTCAAAAAGACTGCCACATTTTTCAAAAAACGACTTCTTTACGATTTTCGCACTTTATTTCTCCTGTCTCTTCTTCATGTATACTCAAATTAAATTCCTTGTCATGTCGTTATCTGTAGCAAGTAACAGCATGTGATTTTATCCCTAAGCTCATTTCCAACTTGAATTTGCCAACCTCGTGCCGTGCCATGTTCTACTAATCAAACGGAAGAAGAAGAAACAGGTTACGAGAAGAACTGCTACTTTAGAAACATTTATTAGAACGAGAGAATGGAAAGACACACTTGACAAGCTTAACAGATGCAGGAGGAAAGGGAAGCTGTACCACGTCAACATCGTGTTATACAGCATTCACAACAGCTGTTTTACGAGCAATTAAGGTGAATTAGCACGCAATAGTTCAGCATCACTGCCAAAAATGGAAAAGCTTGGCTCAAACAAAATAATGCATAATATACTTTTCAACACATTTCGCATGTTCGAAATTCAACATAAAAACGCGGTAATGAGTTTCACGAGAAGCTTTCAATATTGCATACCGTCGATCGTCCAATAACTTTTTCAGCACGAAAACAAAGCGCTCATGGAAATTGTTGTAAGCGTGAAACTCAAGTAGTATTAATTAATTGCTGGCACAAATTGTAAAGTGGCTAGCACTACCTCAACATTTATTTGGCATGCGACAAGCCCATTTTTATCAAACTCATCATTCACTCCCATCATGGGGATTATATCGTATTCAGGACCTGAATATAAGAATTATGATTTTTCGGAAAGTTCGTCAATGACGGTTAGAGTTTCTCCATTAGAAAGCAATATGATCAGTAGCTTACAATCTGCTCAGAGGTCTTCAGTTAATGGAAGCAATGTTATATGCAGGGTGTCCCAAAAAGATGTGAACACTGTTTGATCGTTAATGATCCCCTTGCTTTCATGTCCTTCTCCGAGCTTGAGGTACCATTCTGTAGAGCGAGGTTTAACTCAGATTTAGAGTATGGATCAAGTCGTCAATCGCGCTTCATTACTCTATTATTCCGGTATAAACTTCGAAAAGGATTTTAGAAAAGTGGAAGGGATTCTTGCCTCAGAAGGAAACCAAAACAAGCCAGAATCTGGTGCTGGACTAATCAAACGCCGAAGCCAATGTTCGTCAGAAGTGTGAACACAGCATTGTGAGAGTCAAAATCTGGTGAAAAATTGTATGGTGAAATCAGCACATCTGCAAACCTAGTTCACAAATTTCCAATTTTTTTTGAATTTTTCATAAAGGCCTATTCCACAGTGGTGCTTTGTGCTGAAGGTTCATACCGTAATTTTTGCAGTAATGAGGAGTGATTGCTGATTCGGTCCATACTTCCCCTAACCCTCGGCCTGCAGAATGGTACCTTAAGCTCACGAAAACATGAAAGCAAGAAAATTATTGACGACCAAACAGTGTTCACCTGTTCATCTTTTTGGCTCACCATGTATAGCTGACTGATTGTACGTATGTTCTATTGCGTACTTACGCTTCGAGGTGAGCAGGTGTAACGAGCTACTTTTTGTTATAACAATCGCTATCGATTTCATCAATTTTTGCAGACGTTAAATACGGAGTTAGGAGTTGGCACGGAAAATAAATGAGCCTACTGATTACTAATGCAATACCACTTTTTGAAATTACCGGCTATTCTCCATGCGACCAAAACCACTAGAAATCGGACGTATTAGTGATTAAGTTTTTCCAGTTTTGTTGCGTATTCAAAATTTTGTATCTAAATAAGAATAGCAGCTATTTTTGCTTGAAACTTTTCACTTAATGGGAGCAATTTTATACAGCTGACTGTCTGTATGTTCCAAACGAAAATCACCTCATTAAATTGATCCGAAGCAAACTTTGCGCACACACACGTTGAGGTGAAGTGGGTGTGATGAGCTACTTTCTGTATCGATAGCTGTCGGGGCTAGGGAGTGGGAGAGTAAATGAGCTAAATTATTAATGCAAGACTATTTTTCGAAATTATTGATTACAGCAATCACTTCTCTTTTGCAAAATTGAGAAAGCGGGCTGGAAGTTGCAGAAGGTAAAGGATGTCCAATTATGATTGTCCCACTCGTGCAATCACACCATTGTGGGAATGCGCATTACCTCTATTAGCAGCTTTACCGTACGCTGCAGCGCGCTTAGTATTTGCAGCTTGCAACATTGCTGCCTCGTAGCCCCCTTTGCTATTTCATCACTCCCATCTTTCTATAAAGTTCATTCAAGCACTTACTCATCTCCTTTTCTTAAACTTACGAGTTTTTGAATACCCTACCCTTTGATTTGACGGGATTGGCTGCTGGAAGGCGGGGCTTCGAGGCCTGGTCAAGGTTAGGGAATGAACAGAGAGCAAGATAGCGACAAAGACGCAAACTATGCTGCGGGTGCGAGCGGTCGCCTTCCCGCCAATCTGGATAATAAATGGGTACACTGTTTTGATAAAAGTAAACCAGAAATGTAGGTCTAACACGTTTTCGAAGATCTCTCCTTTTTATCCAAAACAATCATTTGAAAATGTTGGAGAATGCAGTTCGCAGGTATGATTGGGTCATAATATGCAGTTTACAATGTTTCTTGTGAACGCAATTCATCTCACTAATTTCGAAGACGTCCATGTAATACTGCTCTAGGAAGTTGAGGGAAGGAGTAAGTGTTCGCAATAATTGCAATCGGCTATCAAAAGTGTATTTTTTCTTCAATGTTTCGAAATGATCTACATTTCTTTGAGATCAGAGCAATCAAGTGTCTATCCTAGCACTCTTATCAACAACGATTGTAGAAGTGCTGCATCAAAAAACTTGAGTGTCTGATCTAAAAGCAAGCCGACTGGACTGCCGCCGCTGTAGTCACCAAAAGAACTTTCCTTGCGAGGCGCCAATCTGAAAAGTTATACCAAGGCAGTTTCCGAAATTACCCCTCCTTCCTCTGCCCGAGGCAGAACATTCGATGATCGAGTAAGCCTCTAAGAATAAAAAAATAAGAAGAGAGGTCTCATATATGTTGACTGACAAAAGAAGTTCCACTTTTTCAAATGTAATGAGTGAAAAATGACAAGAATAGATTGAACACATGATGTTTTGTATGAAAAAGATATGATTACTTTTACACACTATCAGGGTGAGGTCAGGCACGCGTCCTCTGAAAGTCTTTGGTTGCAGCCTGCACATTGTCTGCGATTGCACACAAATACTCTTGCAAAAGCATAATCAGTGAAGTTTCCTTCAGCTATGAGTTTTCTCATGAGCATATTTCCTCAGGAAAAGAGTGCTTAGGACCAAGTTATTACTGTGGCAAGAAAATGTTTTGAGCTTTAGTCACTATTTCACATAACCTACTCCGCGCGGCCCTGTTATTACACTACCTATTGTTATTCCTATTACAACATCATCTTGTCCCTGTCCCCACTTCCATACATCTTCTCTGCTCTATTTTTTTTTCTAATCGCTCTGTTTCCCCTCTGTACCAACTGCCAGCTCTTCAGAAAAATAGCAAAAAAATCAATAAAACGATGAATGCTATGGTATATTTAAAATGAACGTTACTTTCGATATAAATAATATAAAATGAATTAAGCTTTATAGATATTTTATTTGATCATGGAAATTCACTGTGTACTCGTCGCGTTTTTCAGCGTTTCCAACCTTATCCTAGAGTTAGCACAATTTCGAGCCTCAGAGTTCAGCTTCTCTGGTAACCGATACTCACGCACGAATTATGTACAAGTTCGTAAAATTTTGTGATTGAGCAGATAAGTTCTCTAACGCTGAGCGTTTGTTTTGCTCATGCAGAAATGGTTGTTTACATACATACAAGCAACGCATCTGTCTCATCTTTGTGCGAGACATAAGCTGAGTTTTAAGGCTCAAAATTGTGTTAACTTTAGAATAAGGTTTGGGTTGTTTCATGCTGGCGCACTGACTGCACTGACTGCAGCAGACTGCAGCAGACTGCAGCTGACCGCACTGACCGCAACTGCCGCACAATCGCTGCACCCTTTCGTAAAAGAAAAAATAGTTGCAGATACATCAAAACAATATGATTTACGCCTAGAAAGTTCAAAGCTTCTGACTTACTCTTCTCAATCAAATTTTGGCGATTGTTTTTCTTCAATATACTCATATTTGTTCAGATTTCTTTTATCATTGCATATACCTATTTATTTTACTCCCGCTCGCGTTGTCTATTGGGACATATATTGTTAAGAAACTGCTTGAGCTACAACTATTTATCCTTTCCACCTTCACAAAAGGATGTAGCGATCTGTGCGCCCCCGCGGTCAATGCGGTCAGCTGCAGTCTGCTGCAGTCAGTGCGGCAGTCTGAAACAACCTGAACTCGGTTGTAAAACGTGACAACTACACAGGGATTTTCCGAGCGTCGAACAATTCATTCATCAAAAAAGCTTAATCTATGTCATAGACTTGGTGGAAGCTGGTTAGAATGCTTGAACTGCTGAAAAACGACGTTTCTGAGCGCAATGACTCCAAAAGCATTTTGAGCCATCTGATAAGAGTAACGCTCCTTTTTAATGCAGCATTGGGTTCAGTATGTAAAATATATTTTAGACTGTGTTACTGTGCCCCTACAAAAACTTTAACTTGAAGGCAGTGGTTCGGGAAAATTGCGACTGCGGGTTTTCCACGAATACATGGCCTTCTGGACTAGCTGAGCCAGGTACTGCGCTTGAAAGGTCAAAAAAGTGCTTTTTGGCGTTTTCGGAACTTGGAGATTGCTGGAGGGGCGGGGCGAGTGATTCACCCCAAGAGGAGCAACTGGCACTGGAGACTGTAACTCCACCTATTTTGGCGGCAGTTGGCTGAACAGCCTAGGCAGCCATCGCGATACAGTTTGGCACCAAAATAAGTGGAGTTACAGTCTTTTGCAGCCTGTTACTCATTTTGAGGTGGCTCCCTCGCCCCGCCCCTCCAGCAATCTCCAAGGCCAGAAAACTCCAAAAAAAGCACTTTTTGACTTTTCAAGCAGTACCGGACTTAGCTGGTCCAGAAGGCCATGTAGTCGCGGAAAGCCCGCAGTCACAATTTTCCGAGCCACTGCCTTTAAAGGCAGCGCCCGGGCAAAATTTCGCCTTTCATGTTTTTGTCGTTTTAAGGCCTTTCCGTGGCCCTGGATACAGTAAAGTTCAAACTGTCCAAAGCCCTCAAAAAACCCAATTCCTGGGGAACTTTGAGGGCGCGGACGAGTTTCGGACATAGTTGCGATAGGGGGAGTGATGGATCTTACCCCCTTCACTTTGAGGCCAAACCCCCGATGACCCCGGGTGACCCCCTTCACCTGGGCTGAGATTGGTATTGTACTCTGAGAATATGGTAAAAATCGTTATTAAAAGGTTTTGCAGGCTAAGTACCTCAGACAACAAGTACACTCATATTTATTTATATTATTTATTTATCCTCGTAGCATTCATTTGGAGAGCAGAAAGTGAGGACAAAAAAGCTGGTTTTTGGAGTACGTAAAATCCCTCATATCTCGCGGCACAGAAGACCTAGAAAAAAGTCGACGGTCTATGCCGATTCTCCATGATCTCAGCTTTCGAATGGTATAGAGCATGTTAAAGCTTTTTTGCTTCCCGGCTCTAAAAATCATTTGCTCCGGTAACCGATAAAAGCCAATACATTGGTGAAGCTGGGTGGAGCAAGCTAATAGTAAATATCTCCACCCCATTTTTAAAAACTGGTTAGTTTTTTTCGCCCAGCAACCTATACACCATTCGAAAGCTCGGGAAAAGGGAATTCGACCTAGACCGTCGACTTCTTTCTAGCCCCCCTCTACCGAGAGATACACCGCATTTTATCTGAAAACATAGTCATTTTCAACAGCAGATTTCTGCCAAATGAAGACCTACTCACTGCCGATTATCTATCTGTGTTAAAGAGCAAGTCTTCATTAACAAACGTAAACGTCGACTTTCTCGTAGCATTCGGAGAGCAGAAAGTGAGGACAAAAAAGCAGTTGGTTTTTGGAGTACATAAAATCCCTCATATCTCGCGGCAGAGAAGACCTAGAAAAAAGTCGACGGTCTACGTCGATTCTCCATGATCTCAGCTTTCGAATGGTATAAAGCATGTTAAGGCTTGTTTGCTTCCCGGCTCTAAAAATCATTTGCTCCGGTGACCCATAAAAGCCAACACATTGTATAGGTCGTCCGAAAGTTCTTGCGCACGATATTCAAAAAATCATAACTTCTGATTATTCCAACCGATTTGACTGCTTTTACTTTTATATGAAAGGGTAAGTCATGCTCTTTATAATGACATCTTAGCAGTTGTCATATGTTGCATAGATAGGAGGATAGAAGAAAATTGGTCAAAATTTGAATTTTCTATGTAGGGCCATGAAAAATCGGAGACTTGCAACAAAAATCGGAGCAGTCAGTATCGTAGGTTCCTTCACTAGCTCTTTCTAACAGTGCAAAGTTTGCGCTGATCGAGGGTCTCTATGAAAAGTTATGATTTTCGAGCAAGCAATACGAAAGCGCGAATTTGGAGTATTTTGGCATTTTTCAGGGAAATCATAACTTTGAGACGCTCAATCGGCGCAAACTTTGCACTGTTAGAAAGAGCTGGTGAAAGAACCTACAATACTGACTGCTTCGATTTTTGTTGCAAGTCTTTTCACACCTTCACACAAAAACCCGCCCGTTTCTGGAATCCATCTTATATATAAAGCTGAATGTCTGTTTGTCTGTCTGTCTGTCTGTCTGTCTGTACGTAGGTTCCGAATAGAAAATTCCATTTCTGAACCGATCCGGACCAAACTTGGCACACATACACTTCGGGCCCCGGCGGGTGTCATAGGCTACTTTTCGTCATTGATCGATATCGATTTTATCGATTTTTTTGCAAAGTTTGAGCTACGGGGCTGGGAGTTCGCACAGGGGGGTAATCGAGCATGGGGATTCCGAATACAATATTGGTTCTCAGGATTATCGATTACTTTTATCGATTTTATCGATTTTTTTGCAAAGTTTGAGCTAAGGGGCTGGGAGTAGGCACAGGGGGGTAATCGAGCATGGGGATTCCGAATACAATATTGGTTTTCGGGATTATCGATTACTTTTATCGATTTTATCGATTTTTTTGCAAAGTTTGAGCTAGGGGGCTGGGAGTTGGCACAGGGGGGTAATCGAGCATGCTGATCATCCCCAAGGGGGGTGATCAGCATGCTCGATTACCCCCCTGTGCCAACTCCCAACCCCCTAGCTCAAATTTTCAAAAAATCGATAAAATCGATAAAAGTAATAAACGATCTTGAAAACTAATATGTATTCGTAATCTGCATGCTCGATTACCCCCCTGTGCAAAATCCCAGCCTCGCATGTCAAAATTTACAAAAAAATCGATAAAATCAATAAAAGTAATCGATAATTCTGAAAACTAATATTGTATTCGGAATCCCCATACTCACTTCCCCCCTGTGCCAACTCCTAGCCCTGTAGGTGAACTCTGCAAAAAAATCGATAAAAATCGGTAAAATCGACATCGATCGATAAAGTGGACTGTGACACCCGCCGGGGCCCGAAGTGTATGTGTGCCAAGTTTGGTCCGGATACGGCGGAGCCGGGTAAGCCAGCTAGTACTCTGTAAACCTAGTGCTGAAGAAGGTCACTTTCGTGGAAACGCTCTAGACTCACCTTACCTAATTCGTAGAGAATGGTTGGTTTCAATGAATCAAAAACTTTAAGACATTCAGGAGAATAACATGTTATTAAAATACCCCTCAATGTTTTGGAAAGGTTGGCAGTTTGGAGAGGAAACGGCAGGCAGAATACTTTACAAAATCGCAAATGACTCGCATGTGTTCCAGTTCCACAGCGAGGCAAAAGGAGAATTTTACGCCGACGGAAATGTTGTCGACATTGATACAGAGTTGACAATTGAGCGAAACTCTCTGATTTCCTACATAAGGAATCCAAGCAGATTGCCTACTTTCAATGAGGAAATGTCCAGGAAGTCCATTGCTGATCTTCAGGTTGCTGAAGATTTCAAGGCTGGTTAATTCACAAACATGGATATGAACAAAAGGAAGGTGTTAGTACAAAGCATAGCTACTGCTCTTAGATCTCGACTGGAGTGCGAACCCAACTCTGTGCTTTATGCTTTTGGAAGATATTCGCCTTGTGACATTATGACCTATGATATTGAAAAAAAATACCAGCGCGCAGCATGGTATCTACTTTTTTCGGCTATTCCGCAGATGCTGTTAAAGAAAAAGTTGAGCACCTTTCTCATCAGCTAACAGGGCGTATGCCAGAGGAGGTGAACAGAGTTCGACAAGGCCCAAAAAAATATGCACTATTTCCTTCCCGTGTCGCGCATATGTGATCTGGCTCTTTTCCCATTACTTACCGCAAAAATCTGATGGACTTACTGGCAAAGCTAGTTTCCATTCCGACTAGCACGGCAGAGGTGGAGAAAAAAATTTTCTATTTACTCTGTAAGCAATTACTTAGGGTTTGTCAACCTTCTACTAAACATATTGTTATCTAAAAACTTCATTTAAAAGATTGGTTTAAGTGGTCCAGACAGGCTGTTACCGTATGACTTTTTAAAATTTCCTAAAAGATGGTATGTAGAAACTACTTGCTGACTTTCCTAGTGCTACCAGAGGGCCAGGAAAAAAATCACAAAAGCGCTTAGAAGAAGAAGAAAGTTTCAAATTCATTTTCGACTCAGAACGCTTTTGCAAGCAATTCTACTTGTACTCCGATGACCTTTTGGAGGAAGAAGAAGATTTCTCAGGCAGCGAACTTGTTGTCTCTGACGTTAGCGATAGTGATATTGTTAATGATGATGTGCAGGAATTGAAGTGTTCCTAACTTGTACATCTTTTGGGATAAACCTTATTGCTTTCGTTTTTTGTTGATGCAATGAAACAGGAGCACAGATCTTCATAAAGTCAATTTTTCTAAAAAATTTTAATTTCTTTTAAAATTTTTAATTTTGTTTTCAATTTGTGCCTAAATAAGGTACAAATTAGAGAGCTCTTCATTCGCTTTTTTACCTTTTCTCTCTTCCCCCCCCCCCCTAGAGTCACATACCCCCTTCACCCTGGAAGGTCGGGAACAGCCGAGCCCCTTTCACCTGGGGAGAGCCCTGCTCCCCCTATCGCACCTTTGGTTTCGGATTGTTTATCCCCGGCTCGCCACCGAGGAGGAGTTGCAGCTGCATGGGTGCAGTTACAATCCATGATCGATTGATGCTTGAGCACACGTCCTTAAGGGGAGGTTTGTGATACGTATCACAGGCCCGTATCTCCTTTTAACCACGTCAAAGGATCGGACCAACGCAGATCGGATACTCATGGGGCCCCCTTTACAACTATGTGCTAATCTATTGGATAGATCTTGCGCGGACGCTGCTTTCTAAGAGACTGCGGTTTTGAGTGGAAAAAAGAGCTTCGTTTGAGATATAATTATGGACCACTAACAATTCGCATAATTCTTGTGCAGCGCATGCCGTTTTACTCTGCTCTTTCACGTGGTAACAACGGTTTTTTAACTTACTTTCAAAATTAAAACCCGAAAATAAATGCTAACTTTGAACATTACTTTACACTGATATAGAATCCAGATAGTAAAATATCGGAGAAAAGATCTTTTTGCGTGCAAAGGTTTGCATGCGCGCGGCTTTGTGCGAAAAGAGTGAGGCAGTCGCTGACATCATGAAATCAAGCAGATACGTTAGAGGTTTACCTTCATTGTCTATGAGGAACTGGTCGATGAAAGGAGTCTCCGTGAGTTTTACCAGAAACGTAATTACATTAATGTGAACCATTGTTTGGAAAACATACCTCCCTAAAAGGAGATTATTTCGGCTAACATAAAAGACACATTTAAGCAACTTTGAGCTCGATTTTTTAGACCTCCTTTGCTTGTCAGTGCTCGATTCCAAGGTATACATTTTCAGGCCGCTTGAAGAGAGCTTGTTTCCATTGCTTGATAGACGAATGAGTCAGGTTTGTAGAGTACACATCCAAGTCGAAAGGGCCATTTCGACTCTTTACTTTGTTGGCACACTCTTCAGTAGGTGTTTTTGTACAGACACCTGGCCTGCGCTAGAGAGTTAGCCTTCTTCCAAAAGTTTTGCCAAGTGAGCCTCGTTAATAATTCATAAATCATGGAATTACTCAAGCGATCAATCAAGATGGGCCACAGCTGCGAGAAAAATGAGTCTTAGTGTCAGCATGTTTCGAGGATTGAATGGGAGAAAAAAGGGGGCTTTAAATGGAGTCACGCTCGTTGCTGGCACATTGTTCGTTGCGTGGATTAAAGGTATAACAAATGGCTATGTCTCATTGTTAGTTCAAGATCACCATCTTCCACTTTTTCTCTCCTCACGTCTTCCCAAACGGATTACGAGAAAATGTAACACATCTTCTCAAATTCAGGTTGAAATGATGTGCAAGCAATTTACCTTTTTTCAAAACGTACGCCTGACTCATCTTAGTTTCGTTGCTCACAGCAACCGGAAGGAATGTTCCGATAGTTGAGTAGAGCTGATCGTTTCCTTCGTATATAGGATCCGCACCAAAGAATAAGGAACCCTTGAGCGAAGAAAAACTGTTAATTACTCAAAATTCTGCTCCTGGCCTCAAATGCTGAATCATGATTCTCAACTTCACATGTCCAAAGTTTTCGTAAGGCTTAATCAAAATGTTGAGTTCATGCTAATGTTTTGTTCTTAGCAGCAACCTCTGACGACCGCAGTCAAGAAATAGTTTTTGTGATGATTTGCTGAAGTTATTGATGGAATGTTGAATAAAAATGAAAACTGTTTTGAGAACGATTGACATATTAGAAGTTCGAATTCACGTTCAGCATTTGACACGACATATTAGATTGCAGCTAGGCAATGCTGTCAATGGATCTAAACGTTAGAAGACGTTCTGTGGAAAGTTTTGAAGCAAATCAAGTTTTCTAGGAAGGATTTTTGTGTACTCTTCCACCACAAACTTACTTGTGGCAGCAGTTTCTTGAGCTGCTCCTCAGCGAGTATGTCCCGTCCTACTCCGAGAGTGACTACTACAGATGGAGCTAGCTGGAAAACTTTTGCTATAGAATTTTTCGTTATTACCACGTATCTAAACAAATTAGTTTAACTCCTTCTAAGTGACTATTTCCTACATTCTAGGATTTATTCGCATCGGTTTCGCCATTCACGGGTGTCAGTCACTAATTCTGGAGAAGATTTAAAATATAAATTTCTACTGCAAATCTGCTAGAGAGGGCGTTTGATCAGCGTTGAAAATCGACAGTAGTGAGCAGTATTCCGGCTTTCCTCTACATTGAACTTTGTACAATACACGAATCATCTAAGGCTGCGTTCATACTGATTACGAAATCCGAGAACAGTTCTAGCACAGTGCTCGAATTGAGCGTTGTGCTGGGACTGTTCTCGGATTTCGTAATCAGTATGAACGCAGCCTAACGGGTCCTAGCTTGGCAAATCTATCTCAGTATTGGTTGTCCCACAAGTCTTTTCATATTTGAGTTCCCACTTTCACAATTCAGTTCTTGTAGAAAGGGGGTTTCGTTCTGCAGATCAAGGCGTTAGATGGCATTCGAGAGTTCAACAAGATGATGTTCAAGAGTTCGCACCAAGATTGATCTGCATTAACTTTCAAGCCAAAATAAAAAAAATGAAAATTTCCGAAAAAACGATAATCGTATCTCTGCTCAAAACAGCACTGCGAAATTCCAATTTGCTCACGCATATACTTTCTCCTAAAAGAATACACTGGCCAATACAAATACATTTTTTGATGGCTAGAAAGCAAGAAAAAATGGATGAATCTTTATAGTTTACCTGTAGCGGTTCTTTGTTACTCGCAAATATGTGTTTATGTAGCTTATTCACTCAAATGATACTGCACAATTTTGTAGCCTTGTAGCTGCTCTATTTTCGAGAAATAATCCAAAATCTCTGATATGAAAGGTCTAGACAACCTAATGGAAGGCGGGATACTAGTTAACATTCTCAAACTATTGCAATACAAATTTTTGCAAATATGCCAGAAATGGCGTTTGACACCCAATGTAAAACTCAAAGTAGTGTGCGAAAATTTCTAGGTGCTAAATTAGCATGATGGGCCGTTATATTCAATTATGTGAATGTCCCAATTTCTGAAAAAAGTTTTGTTTTTGTTTGGCACTTTAGAATATCGTCTTTTGAGCTCTAATCAACTCGTCCCTTAAGTCACTAGTATATTGTTCTACGTACTTATCGGAGAGTAGGGAGATATTGATTCATGACTCATGACTCAAAGAATGAGGAGTAATAAAGATAGAGGTGATTATAGGAGGAAAACGAACTGAAGGGCTTACATCAGTATTGTTGTGGATGTGGTACTTGATCTCGTCTTTATTCCTATGTTCGCTGAGGTTCAGTTTATTCATGGCGGTCTGTTGGCGACAGGTTTCTATGGACTCACCAAAGAACAACCAAAGCTGTAAGATTGAGATATCATAAAAATGCTGGAGATAAAGCACCACTTTCAGGCTTTCTTGACTGAAGTGCAATGGAACGTTCCGATTTGGGAATTTGTTGCTAAAACTGCCATTTCCATCAACTACATTGCTTGAATTTTGGTTTATAGATGATCATGACATTATGAAATAATGTATTGCATTCAGCGCCACCGCAGTCTTTATTCATAACCCCATCTCTCGCCTTTGACATTGATTTTTGTAACCTTACACTCTTATCAACAAAGGCGCCTTTGAGGCATCGCAATCACAAACACCCGAGCTGAGAGGAGGGGGGGGGGTGGGAGCGCGGTTCCCACCCCCCCCCTCCTCTCAGCTCGGGTGTTTGTGAATGCGATTAAAGCTGAATGTTCTAAAATTCCGTAGATTTGGATTTCACGCTCTCCATTCATATTCCTTCAAGTGTTACTACTGACCTTTGCTGTAAACATGTTGAATATGACCACATTGTTATGCAATCCGCATATGCAGCTTTCAGTGATCCCTCGATGATCCACAGCGCTTAACGTTTTTTGTTCAAATTCATTTTACCACTGAGTTCAACGAAAACATCCGATGTATGGCTATCTAATCCAACAGTGCTAAACATGTTGCTGATAGTTGCCGCTGATAATAACACAGATTCCCGATAAGCCTAAAGTTTTGAGTTGTAGTTTACATTTTCATTGCTTTGATTTCTCATTGCCCATTAGAAGCATGCACATTGCAGAACGGGGAATCAGTACAACTCTGAAATGACTTCGTTGGCTTCGAAAAAAGAAAAATGGCTTTGGGTATAAAAGGGCTGGCAGCTAAGGATTATAGGAAGTTTGAACGAAAAGCCAAAAAAACCCAGCTTATGCAGTAAGGTACTCCTGTTCGCTAGTTCACTGTTCATAATGAGTAGTGGAAATACTTTTAGTATTTCTAGTATGGGTAAGCACAAATGCATGAGCTTTTCTTAAGGCTGCGCTCCCCTTCCTAGAGGAGATGTTCATTGCGGCCAAGTCGTATGCATAGATCGCTAGGAGTGGAGGGAAGGGAAGAAATGCTTTGAAGGACCGTCTGCATTTCAATGCTGGAGATCCGTTTTCTTCATTGCCATATCATCTAATATCTTAGCATGAAAATGACAGCGCATTGCCCCTAAGCACAGCTTTAAGGCGCTTTCGTTGAAAGATTCACTTTGAGAGAAAAGGCGATCCCTTAGAGATACTACAGAGGATTATATGAAACAATGAAATACCCAGATATCCACTGTTTTATCGGGAATAACGAATCCTGGAAGGGGCTCGGCTTACGCGCGGCCGCCTCGCCTGGGCTCTGCATCTCCCTCGCAGCGTGCTCTCTAATTATTCCACCACGAGAAAGAAAAGACGGAGCTTCGATCTCTAGTCAAGCCTGAAATGATTGGAAAGCACGCTTGGAGAGAAATGTAAGCTCAGGTGAGGCGGCCGCGCAAGAGACAAGCTCCACCTCACCAATCACCCATCATTGCAGATGATACAGAGGGTATATGACAACGCGATACCATTTATCATGCTGAAGTATTGAGGTAGTAGAGTCTTTGAAAGATGAATGGAACTAGAGAAATACAGGTCATTAAAAGTTTAAGATATAAGGTCGCCTCAAAGCTTTCCTCCTCTTCCCTACGGGGATTGCATACAGGGCTTATCAATTGCATTGTCGGGTGCACCAACGTCTCCACTCCCGCGCGGGATTCTGAAGCTCCTCCGCGAACATGCTCTTTAATCTTGTCCAATCGATTGAATGGATCCGCCTTTCCCACGCTTGCCCTAGGAAAGTGACCAAAGAGCATGTTTGCGGAAGAGACGGAGAATCCAGCGAGGGAGTGGAGATGCTAATGCAAGCGACACACCGCGTTTGATAAGCCCTGTACATCCCAGAGAGATCAAAGCGGGTTGCTTTATCGAAGAGGTGCGGTGCCCAGGCGAAGCTGCCGCGCGCGAGCGAAGATGTTGATGCTTCTGACAGCGTGAATGGTTTCTTCACGGCTGAGAGACCCGTCTCTCAGAAATCCCGCGTCTGCGTCGCGACCTTAACCCGAAAGCGACATCGCTTACTTTAGCACTACGTTCGCGCTGGGACCCATCCCAAGTGTTACGGTCACGGCGCAGGAGGGGAGCACTTTGGATTTCTCAGCCGTGAATGAATCATTCGCGCTTTGTTTAGGCAATGTCTTAGCTAGGACCCCCTCATCAAGTTCCAGGCGAAAAACCCATGTGCCCAGATTTGCCTGGACACTGCCTTTAAAGGCAGTGTCCGGGCAAAATCTTGATTTTGAGATTTTATGCTTATATGGGCCTATTCGCCACGCTGAGTCTGAAAATCCACACTGAATTCGCGAAAACGGCAAAGGGAGGGCAGCGCAGGAGGGAAACAGCAAGTTGGCGGGGTCCTTCCCATGTAAATTCACGCTCCCAGCCTTCGGAGCGGTCTTCTCGATTCCGCTAGCCTTCCTAACATCGCTTACGGCCAATTGCGAATGATTGACTTGAAACCGAAAGCGAGAAGATCGTTTCGGAAGCTAGGAGCGTGAATTCACTATGAGGAAGACCCGCCCACCTGCTGATTTCCCTTCTGTGTTAGAGCCGTTTTTCATCTAGAACTATGGCACAAGTTCAACTTTTGTACACCTCCTGTAAAAGGAGAAAATCGGAGCAAAAAACACCGAGCCTCAAGGATCACGCCCCCTCCCTCGCACGGCCAAAGGTCTGTTCCGCTTTCTTGAAGTCATGTATGTAATTTGCGAAGCGGGCGTTCAGCCAAGGTATCATAAACAAATAATAGACAGATTGTCTGTTGTTGTGTTATGATAGGTTTTCTCATGTTGTTAGCTAATACTGCCAAAATACATTGCTAATGCTTATATTTTCTCTATTCATGTTCGAGATAATGTTCATTGAAGCAAGCAAGCTGCGCAAGATTGCTTCTAGACACTCGCACAAAGTTTAACTTATCCGAAGATCAAAGCCAACCCAAAAAATCGGACCTCAAATCCAAGAAAATTCTACAGAACTTAATCTGCCAATGGATGAAGTCCATATGAATTCGTAGGGGCTCATATATAGAGCGCTGTTTCAAAAGAAAACAGACTGTAATTCATAAATGCCAATTTTTTCAGACTCTTCAAAGGGGTAGCATCAGAGGTACGATAGTGGGAGCCGAGTCTCTGCCTACCTTCACTTTTGAACTGTACGGGGTGACCACCTTCACTTTTGGGTTTGAAATTTTTCGCTGAAGCTTACAAGAAGGAAAATAAGCAAAAGGAACGCAAAAGAAAGTATTGAGAGCATATATCTATGTAGTAGGTCGATCTAGGCAGTACCTGCCAAGAACCAGAATTTTGAATGATAAAATAGCGAAAAATCATGCGAAATTTCCACTGTTATGAATCTGGTGACTGAAAATGTCAGCATTTTCGACTTCATAGGTTTTGAAGGGCAAGTGTCGTTCTACTAGATAGTGAAAGAATTGGGTCGATTTGAGCAGTGGCCGCCGAGAACGAGACTTTTGAAAAATTAAGCAATTTAAGTTACTTAATGACAGCTGACGCCTAGACTCCTATAAATCTGGAATGTAAAGGTGTGCAATGTTGCGACTTCATAGTTTCTGAAGAATAAGAATTGCACTATCAGACTACGTCTTAGCCGTACCGATCTACTGAGATGCCGCCGAAATTCAGGCTCTTAAAAAAACAGGTAAAAAACCGCTTTTTAAATTTCAACAGCTTATAACTTCTGCAGAATTGCATGAATCATTGCGACTCCATAAGTTGGATTCTCCTTCTCAAGAGCTTTCAGATGATATATAATACGTGGAGGGTTCAATGATTTTTGCGGCTCTAACCCAGGGTGGAGTTTCACCCCAAAGTCTCCACCTCGCCCACGTTAATGTATTGGCTGGAGACCGCCAGTGGAGACGTTAGGTTGAAAACTCTCCAACCCGGGCATATGCGGTGAAAAACCCCACATGCGTGAAACCCCCACATATTATATATCATCTAAAAGCTCTTAAAAAGGAGAATCCAACTATGAATTCGCAACATGCCTCATGCAGTTCTGGAAAAAATATGGGCTGTTAAAATTCAGAAAGCGGTTTTTTACCTGTTTTTTTAAGAGCCTGAATCTCGGCGGCATCTCAATGGATTGGTACGGCTAAGACATATTCCGATAGAGCAACTCTTACTCTACAAAGCTATGAAGTCGCAACATCACACACCTTCACAATCAGGATTTATATGAGTTTAAGTGTCAGCTGTCACTAAGCAACCTAAAATGGCCTATTTTTAAAAATTCTGGTTTTCGGCGAATATCTTTCGAATCGACTTGAGTCTCTCACTATCTACTAGAGCACCACTTATTCTTTAAAACCTTTAAAGTCGCAGATGCTGACGTCTTTATACTCAGATTTATAACAGTGGAAATTTCGCATGATTTTTCACTATTTAATTATTCAAAATTGGGTTCTCGGCGGTCATTCCCTGGATCGACCTACTTTCTTCGCAGTGCGTTATAACAAAATTTACTCAATAAAATCCGTACAGTTCCGCTGAATTTTGCTCCCAATGTACCATTTGATAAGCATGTTTATTTTAGATATTTATGCCGCTGTCTACATAAAAATATGCTTTCAATAATCTCTTTTGCATTTGTTTTGCTTATTTTCCGCGCACAGGTGGCAACGACCTGGAAGAATAGGCTCAGTCGACGTTAACGCTCTCCCCCCCCCCCCCCACCGGTCGACGTTTTTGGGAGGTGAGTGTCCGGCACTACCACCTTCACTTTTGACCGGCCAGTGGTAGCTGGAAGCACCTTCAATTTTGGGGGACCCGGCTCCACCTATCGCACCTCTGGGTAGCATTCTTTCACTTTGAACCGATATTTTTCTTTTCTTAACGCACGTAGGGA